TCTTTCCCAAGCCTGGGATATAGGATACCTCTTTCTTCCCCACCCCAACACTCAGAATTATGCTCCTCTGGGCCCAGCATCTTGTGTCTACCTTTGCTACTGAACTTAAGGCATGAGGCCTCTTCCTCTAAGTATTTTGTAAATGTGCACACAAATCACACACACACACACACACAAAAATGCAATAAACTCCTGAAAACAAGAACACTTTACCACCATAGCTGAGCACATACCCCAGGGCTCAGTAAGTACATGCTGCTTTGAATAACACTAAACCAAGTATAACTAAAGACTGCCTTAAACAGAAACTGGTTTTTATTTGGTTTTGTTTGTATTGAGGGGGGAAGGGAAAATTCAACAAAATATTTAAAACAGTTCTAGAACACTCACAGAAAACTGATCCTTAACTAGTACAAAGTCAACAGGCCCCAAATGGAATATCAATGTGTTTAATAAGCTTAAATCAATTATTTAAACTGAAAGTCTTGTTTGTTTTTTTAATAATTCTAACTTCATGATAGGATTTTATGCATTAATTAAGAAAATAAAAAGAGTTAAAAATTCAATATTGGGCAGAGCTCACTGTTAGGGATGAAATGCTGTCTTTATTAAAGAAAGTTTGGACATGATTTATTTCATAGGTAACCTATTTTAAAGATAATCATTATCCGCCTGAAAGTCTAAAATTAAGAGCTGAATCAGCTAAACAATGCCTTTAAATCAAAGTTATCAACTAAATATCAGAAACAATAGGGATTGAATGTTTAGGTTACTAAGCATAAAAATAAAACCGGACTATTAAGACAACAGCTATTGGGAAGTCAAGCAAAATTTCATTATTCTGTGAAGAACTGTCCTAGTGGGGGGAAAAGAGAAAGCCACTAAATTACCGAATCACCTACTATTCCCTCACTCAGCAAATACTTATGTGCCCCTGCTGCAGTGCAGTCACCACTGTAGTCTGAAAACACTACAGGACGTAGAACAGAACCTCTGCCCTCATGAAGCTAATAATCAGAGGAGAAGGAAGCAAAGAGTGAACTGGTAACTTCATGAGATAGAAAGTTTCACAGTCCAAATTCTACTTCCATTTTTGGTGGGCTAGCAACAGGCAGAGGGCAGCATAACCTTGTCTTTAAATAAACTGAAAGAGAAATTTAATAGCACTGAAGTAGCATTTTTGTTTAGATCTCAATCAAAGCAATTACAAACATCTATAAATCAATACTTCGATTATAATCTCTTCAGTGACCATATTAACTATTTTAATGAACTTCCAAGTTTTAAATATATTTAGAAGATCTATCAAAGATTACAGGTATTAATTTGCCTTTAAAAACAAAACCAAATAAATAAAAAATAACTATCTTCAAAAAGACTGGAGAATTGGCTTTTCATTTTTCTAACACTAAAGTAAGTCAAAATAAAACAAATTATTGATTTCTGAATCCTGCCCAAATAAGCACACAGATGAAAAAAGTATAATAAAAAAGCAATAAATAACCTATATAATACAACTGATAGTTTTTCCATCAATACTTCGACCTATGGATATATTGATCATTTGTAATACTTAATAACAAGTTATTAAGGATCTAAATAGACACTTTATGAAAGAGGATATACAGAAGGCCAAGAGACATATGAAAACCTGCTCAAAGTAACTAATTATCTGAGAGATACAAATCAAAATGACAATGAAGTACCATTTCACACCTGTCAGAATGGCTATCATGAACAAATCAACAAACAACAAGTACTGGCGGCAACAGCATGGATGGAACTGTAGAGCATTATGCTAAGCGAAATAAGCCAGTCGGAGAAAGATAAATATCACATGATCTCACTCATATGTGGGATATAATGAACAACACAAACTGATGAATAAAAATAGATCCAGAGATAAAGAAACACCGAACAGACTGTCCAACCTCAGATGAGAGGGGGAAGTGGGGGCGAGATCAACCACAGGACTTGTATGCATGCATATTAGCATTACCAATGGACATGAACACTGGGGTGGTGGAGGCTTGTCCTGGAAGGTGGGCGTGGCCAGAGAGGAGGTCAATTGGGGAAAAAGGAGACATATGTAATACTTTAAACAATTAAAAAAAAACTTCTAAATGAAATACAGAGCCACATATTAAGATATTAAATGCCAATTATAGAAAAATAAGGCTATAAAATTGAATATGATGTAAATTTAGAATAGAAGAAATCACAAAGAATAGATCATCAGATTTTAAAAAAAAATAGCAAGTTATTGTTGCACTACTAATTTCTCAGTTGTATTATACTAGAGGCCTGGTACACAAATTCGTACATGGGTGGGGTCACTCAATCTGGCCGGCAATCGGGGCCGATCGGGGCCAGCCAGCCAGGGGAGGAACCACAGGAGGTTGGCCGGCCAGGGGGAGGTTGGCTGTGAGAGGGCACTGACCACCGGGAGAAGCTCCTGTGTTGAGTGTCTGTCCCCTGGTGGTCAGTGCACATCATAGCTACCGGCCAGTCGTCAGTTCGGTCGTCTGGTCGTAACAGTCACTTAGGCTTTTATATATATAGATTATTATGTAAAGTGACACACATGTTTTAAATACAATTCCAGTCTCATATAACTAGAACTCTTCAATTTATCATGCTTATGCCTTGAAAAATTATCACTCATTAAAAGCAAAAAATTCTTCAGAAACATGATTAATGAATTAAAATTAACAGAAATGATGTTATTTTCCCCAAACAAAATACTATGTCTATAATTTAATGTTTATTCTTGTTTTCCAGGACTACCTGACAATTTGCATATGTAATGTATTAAAAAATGGAGTCTGAACTATATACTCTGCAGAATTCTAAGGGACAAAAGGGCAAATGGTTATAACAAGGGAAACAGAAGGTACAGGAAACAGTTCTTTAGCTGCAGCGATTTCTCTTGCACCTTCATTTAAGTAGGATGCACCCTTCTTTTTTAGTAAGTATACTGTTAAACACTTGTGCATGAGTCATTTGAGATTTTTACCACTAACATTCAAATTCAGATATAACCTCCAATTAAAATTACAGACAATAAATAATTTTAAAAATATGTACAACTATTAAAATCACCTTTAACATAACAAGAGTCATATTTTGTAATAAAAATTAACAAGCAACTGCTACATGCAGTAACAGTGATGAATAAAAAAAAATATTGAGTACAAACTTTATAATCTCATTAGCATAATGTTTAAAAACAGACAAACTGATCTATGATGACAGAAATCAAAAAGAAGGAGTTTAGCCTCGGGAAGAAGGAGAGGTAATGGATGGGAAGGGACCTCTGAAGCTCCAGTAATGTTCTTTTCACATTCTAGGGAGTGTCACTTTTTAAACACCGATACATTCACTAAGTAAAAATACATTGAACTGTGTACATGTCTAAACATGTTACACCATCATTTTTTAAAGTTCTTAAAAAAAAAGAAACTTTACAGAATGAATGTTTTTTTCTATCAAATGATTTGTCAAAAATGTTAGCCATTCATCTGTTCCCACATTTCCACTTTGTACACCGTGGAATGATCAGAAGGGATTTATAATGTGTGTATGTAATAGTCAGTAAAGTACAGGGGAGCACCACTCCCTGCCTTACCTTTTCAACAGGGAGCAGCATCTGCAGCAGCCGAGCTGCAAACAGTGAGATGCTGACAAAGGCCATTCTGTGGAGCCTGCGAACTGCCTCTGTGTGCTCCACACCGATGCTACTTTGATGGTAGCACATGGTTTCTCCCAGGGACCCCAGCACTGCGAGCAGCTTCTCTTTCTACAAACATTTAAACACAAAACGGGAAAATAACCAACTTGGGGGTCAGTATGCAAATGTCAGAGGACAATTTAAAACATTATCATTAAATAACAAAAATGAACAAAAAGCAATTATTTCTCTCGATAAGAGCTAATACCTGCTAACAAAGAATGATAAACACACCTAAATTTTTAAAAAACTATTTTTTAAGCATTTACTTTGTTTTTTTTTGGGGGGGCGGGGTTGTTTTTTGGTATTTTTTGTTAGCATTTACTTTGATGACTTCTAACAAAAAGTTAAAAATTAAATGTGGGCCTGACTGGTTTGGCTCAGTGGATAGAGCATCAGCCTGTGGACTGAAGGGTCCTGGGTTCGATTCTGGTCAAGGGCATGTGCCTTGGTTGCAGGCACATCCCCAGTGGGGGGCGTGCAGGAGGCAGCTGATCGATGTTTCTCTCTTATCGATGTTTGTAACTCTCTATCCCTCTCCCTTCCTCTCTGTGAAAAATCAATAAAATATATTTTTAAAAAAACACCCCAATTGTGGTGGGGAGAAGGTTCTGGCATATAGCCTGAGCTGGTGGTATGTGGCTTTGTCACTATAAGTCTGTTAAAAAACAAATTAAATGTGTAATGAAAAATTAACAAAATATATAAAATATAAGTAATTAATAATTTAATAATTCAGGATAAAAAAGGGTTGGGTAAAGGGGGTCGTTGCCTGTTGATGAAATGCAAAATTAATAGTAAAGACCCAATATGAATGAGTCTGAATAACATACAATATCAAGTACAACCTGTTACTGACATGAAGATGGATTTTACAGGTTTTCACTCAGTCTTTTAGAGCCTAATTAATAAAATAAGTAGATATAAACTTTGAACATCACAAAGAATACAATTCCTCAAGCTTCCAAAGGACATTGACAAAGACTAACCATTTACTTAATCACAAAGAAAACTTCAATATATGTATATTTAAGGCTATATTCTCTGATTCCAAAGAAATAAAACTGAAAGTAAAATTTAAACCAAAATGAGGGCAAAGCTTACAAAACAAAACAAAACAAAAAATGTAAGAGCCTATTTGTAATACTTTAAGCAATAAAATAAATTTTAAAAAAATAAAGGAGGAGCCATTATATTAATAACTACTGGTCTAGAGAAAACAACTCAGAAACATAGTGACAGTCTTATCACATTAGCCGGCAATTCTTTCACACACTTCTCTATTAAAATAATACTTGTATATTCCTACAACATATCTCTGTTATTCGAGATTAACTTTGGTAATTTATAATTTACTAGTAAATCAATGAACATATTTAATATCTCAGTATCGGAGGGCTTTATCAGAAGTCTATTTACTTGTGAAATTGTTCCAAATAACTTTCCTTATTCTAATGATGAATTGAGTGCTGCTCAAAATAGTACAAAAAGGAAGTACTATGAATCAGTCTTGGATTTTCACAATTTCCAGCATTTTTTCTAAGCCAAATAAAAGTGGTTTCTTTTTAGCTTTTTTAAGAAAAGAGGATTGAAAAATAGTAACTGGTCCAGTTTTAATTTGTTGGGCTAAAACAATGTTTAAAAACCTGTGAAGTAGTTGATGGGGGGTGGGCAGTTTTCAGAAGATATTCACAGCTTTTACAAAAGAAGGTACAGAATTAAAATATCCGATTAGCATAATATTCTAAATATTCCCAATGAAACAGAATTTATAGTGCAAACAAGATTTCTCAGTCTCTGCACATCATGAAACAGATTGTGAACTCCGTAAAGCATCTGAAATGGGGACTGGCACAGGATGTCCCCCATATGCTTCCAGACTCACACCCCTCTCCCTCCCACACTGCAGAGGATCACTATAGCAAGTGCAGCCCTCACCAGGCACTTCCTCTCTGAAGGGCAGCTCACCTGCCTTCAGAATGACTGCCACTCCACGCAGCACCAGCAGAAAGAGAGCCTCAGCAGGCCCCGCCTCTTGTGCCATTTCCACCTCCCATAGTAACTTGCACTGCCCCTCTAGCCCCACCCTTTACCGCCAAACAGCCATTCTCTTCCCTCAAACAGCCCACCTTCATTTGCTTAGCCAAGTCCTAATTGTGCTCAAGACTCAGTTCAGCCACAATTTACAAGAAGCCCTTCCTGAGATCCCAGGATGGCAGTGTTTTCAAAGCACCCTTGGCAATAAAACATAGAACTGAGCTTGAAAAAGAAACTGTGCCTCCATTTTCTCATCTATAAATGGAAATCTACCTTATAGGTCATGATGATTAAATGGCCTCATAAACACAGTGTGGTTAAATATCATCTAGTAAGCAGTATGCCTAATGGATCTTTATTTAGCTATTGTTCATCTATGCTTCCTTCCATTTTACTAGTGTCACAATAAATGTATCTACGTCCTACCAGAGTGAAAGCTGCCACTCATTCATCTTGTGCTGCAGTGCCTAGCCTATGACAGACAATCAGAAATGTCTGGTAAACTAAAATAACTGTCTCTCACTAGGGCAACAGCAGGGAAGGTGAATGCAAGCTAGAGATCCCACTAACGCAGTTACAAATCCAGTCTCATCCATCCCCCCGCAGTGAGTCCTCACTGGGTATGAAGCTCGCTCTCAACCCTTTCAGCCCAATTGAACTCCAATCATCAAGTCTTCCCACAAGCCCAGGCATCTAAGTTACCAGCTCACAGCAGGTCTGGTGGAAATTTAGAAGCGATGAATCGTAGAGAAAGAGAAAAGACTGTTTTCAGTGGCATTGGGATGACAGAGGAGTGACAGAGAAGGCAAAAATGACCAGAACCCACCATCTGGGGTTATGTGGCAGGAAGTGAAGCTCCTGTCTCCCTGGACCTAACTTACCGTGTGAATAAGGAAACAGACTTGGCTTCACAGGGAAGCAAAGAGAGGGCACACTTCAGGTCAACCTAACTTTTACTGTGCTTATCAATGAATTTTTTATTTAACAAAATATAATAATTTCAATAAAAATAGTTTTTCTTTATTTACTTCAAGTGAACTAAAAAATATTCAACTGTGGAGATTTTTTTTTGCTACGCATACAACCTGAGTAATGGAGTTCTAGACATGACTGCTATTAACACTATTGGGAAAGATCTAGAGATTTAATTCCTCAGGTATTTAACTTCTGAATTGGTAACAACACATTTATTATTTTGTTCCTTTAATGAGCCAACAAAAACACTTCTTCTATCTTTCTTTTTAAACGTGGCAAAAGTAGAATATTAAGTAATTCTACTTAATTGTTTATTTTTATTAATATACCAGAGGCCTGATGCACGAAATTCGTGCAAGGGGCTCAGCCCTCGCAGCCCTGGCTTCGCCCGGAAGGACTTCGAGAAGGTGGTTCAGCTGTCTAGTCTAATTAGCATATTACGCTTTTATTATTATAGATAGCCAAGGTACTGAGATTTTTCCTGAGGCATTTATTCTTTTAAACAAGTAGATCAAATATGATTTCAAACAATACTGTTTTATTGAACATTTCTAACATGCCAACTGGCACTTATATAACAGATTTAACCTTTAAAGTAAAAATAATTCACTGAATCATAAAAGACTAGCAGCCAAAAGTTAAAAGTGAACGACTAACTTTTACAGATAAATGTTCTGGCCAACAAAATTTAAGTTAATTTAAGAAGCAACTGATAAAGCAGTCTTCACACATCTAAGGAAAAACTCACTTGTTGAAATCCTTCAATCTGTGAAAATCTTCTAAAAGTACTACAAAGTAGTATGGTAACCTTAAGTACTAAAGAAAAACTAAGATTAAGAACTATCATCCCTATTTCATAAATAAAGTAATTGAAGGATTTGAACAGTATATTATACCAATTGTAAAATATTTGTTTCTCTTTTCAATAAATTTTTGTTTTTAAAAGAAGGTTTTGGAGTTTTACAAATGGGTATTGATATTAAGTAAACATCAGTATTTTGTTGTTGTTTTTTCATGTTCTAACCTCTATTCACAAGGATTTCAGGCAGCACATAGTAACGTTTAATAAAACACAGACCTAAGTCAAAACATCATAAAGAGAAAAAAACTTTCATAACTATGAATCAATATATATTTTTATAATAAATTTTGCTTCCACTTCTCTGACAATGCAATAAAAAAGGCTGTTACAATTTACATTAAAATACAGAACATAGTTCTTCAAGATAAACAAGATTATCTGATAATAGAAAAATCCTATCTAATAAAAGAGTAATATGCAAATTGACCATCACTCCAACACACAAGATGGCCACCCCCATGTGGACACAAGGTGGCCTGCAGGGGAGGGTAGTTGGGGGTAACCAGGCCTTCAGGGGAGGGCAGTTGGGAGGACCAGGCAAACAGGGGAGGGCAGCTGGAGGGGACCAGGCCTGCAGGGGAGGGCAGTTGGGGGCAACCAGGACTACAGGGGAGAACAGTTAGAGGCAATCGGACTGGCAGGGGAGCAGTTAGGCATCAATCAGGCTGGCAGGCAGAGTGGTTAGGAGCAATCAGGCAGGCAGACGAGTGGTTTGGAGCCAGCAGTCCTGTATTGTGAGAGGGCAGTAGGACATCTCTCGAAGGGTTCCAGATTGGAGAGGGTGCAGACTGGGCTAAGGCACGCATGAGTGCGCGCGCGCGCGCGCGCACACACACACACACACACCCCGCGCACAAATTTTGTGCACTGGGCCTCTAGTAAATAATATAAAATGACAAATGATTAATGACATTGAAATGTAAAAAAGGATACAATTTATAATTACATGGAAACACTCTGGTAATTCATAGATGTCTTAAACATTATATTACAATATAACATTTTTAAGGCTCTTGTATATGTATTGATTGCTCATGCAAAATATTACTTATTCAACAGATTTCTTTCAAAGAAAATAAAATGTAATGCCATATTTTCCAAAAATATTTTCCCTACTAAAATACAAATAGCAAAAAACAAAGCACCCAACAATAAAATTAATTAATAAATGCAACAATATGGCTATAACTCAAAGTAATCAAACCAAAGGGGGAAAACAGAGACTAAAAAAAAGCATACAAACATTCATATAAATTCATATAAAGAATACATTCATATAAAATTCTAAAAAATGCAAGCTAATCAATATCATGGGTGTATCCATATGTCAAAATGCAGCAACAAACTTTAAGAAACATGTGCAGCTTATTCTATGTTAATTACACTTTATTAAAGCTGTTAAGACCCACATAAATGTATTCACACACCCTCATGAAAAAAATGATAAGAAATGTGCAAAAAGCAGCCCTAATGGCTTGTTTTGGTCTTGATATATACTCCTCCATTAAAAGAAACCAGAATCTCTGGAGAAATGGCCTGTTCCAGACTATGCACAAAATAAGCCTGGACTGCTGTGTCTAAAAGAAAGAAATTCAAAGCCTAATGAGACAATGATGCCAGCTTTAAAGGACTAAAATAAAATAAAATGCTACTACCCAAATCCCAAAGAAATAACTGATTCTCACCATATCTATAGCAAAAAGACTATTGTCGTCCCAGATATCTACTGAAATTGCTTCACCAATAAGTATCAAATCCTCCGCAAGCAATTCCAGAACTCTTATTATCATCTGTCTGCTACCTAGAAAAACAGCCAGGAGAAAGGGAAGAAAAAAGTTAACTTTCAAATCAATAGCTGAATGCCGTATTGCTCAATCTTCTAGTCATGCCCCCAAATTCCTGTTTCTCTTTAATATCTTATATGCTTTTAGAACTGTTGAAAGACATAAACAGGAAGCCACAATCGACAACCACCATTAAAGATTTCTGCTCTAATCATATGCTATTTAACTACAACGAATCAAATGTGCTCATAGTGGGAAAGATACTCAAGAAGAGCATAGCAGTAATTTAACTACAAGTATTGTGAGACAGATTCAACTAATTTTTCAAATTCAGAGATCATCCATGTCACATGGAACATGTGACAAAGCACCAGGACAGTTTAGAAAACACATTCTAAGGATTTTCTAAGGATTAGTACCAGAAGGCTTAAGCCTCGTCATAAAACTGTATTTCCTGCACAGAAGCTGCCTGGGAAGCTAAGCTTGGACTGGAGTAACTAAAGTATAAATGTCCATGCTGGCATTAGCTGAAGAAACTTGAAGAAGTTCTATCTAAAATAGGTTCTCAAGCCTATGCTCACATTACTAGTAAACTCTAAAAATATTCCCAAAGGAACTGTGCCATTGGAGCCACACCCACCAGTGTAATGTCCTTCTCTATACAGCCATAATAACAAAGGAATGCCACAATCCACAATTCTAAGTGAGGCGGACATTCCTCAGCCTTCCTGTCCACATACCAAAGGTCAATTTCTAATGAATAAAAGTAAACTACCAGATTATTAGGGTCTAGATTAATCGTTTCATCAGAACAGCTTGAGAAAGTTCTTTTAGAAATCTCTTATGATATTGAACAATTATAAATTATGCAATAATTTACCACAAAAGGGCAAAAGAACATTTAGAAAATTTTATGTACCAAGATACAGCTTTATAATTATCAATCTGACTTTTTACAGCAAATTAAGGAAAGGTTAAATGCAAAATCATTAAATCTAAAACTGTTCTTCTCAGTACACCATGAAGACAAACATATATACTTTATAATGCCAAGTTCAGATTTTCCTTCACCACATTATTGGTACCTGAATTACTATGTATCCTAACTCCCGGGAACAAAGTCACTCCATCAGAAATTAGGGGTACAGTTTTCCTCAGGATAAAATAAAAATGTTAATGCTTTCCAAACATTACCTACCTCCCACTTTGCTCCCCATCACACTCAAGTAGGCAAAAAGTAGCCACAGGACTTAAAGAACTATTAGCATGTGATACGTCCTTTACTCAGCCAGTATAAATGAAAAAAAGGCAAAACTTATTAATCTTCTATTGATATCTCAACAAGTTTATCAATTACTGAAAATGTATAGATTTAGAGAATAAAAATCATTATTGCTTCCAAATCTTTCTTTACCTTCAAAATGCAAAGTGCTTCAGAGAGTGGACTTTGCTTTCAAAAGAACCTTGGATCAAGTCTGTTCTTAGCTGTTTGACCTCGGATAAGTTTCTGAACGACTCCTGATTTGTAACATGGGGATAGAAGCAGTAACTACCACAATGGAAGGATAAAGTGGGCTGATTTGAGGAGAGCATGAAATAATGCACATGAAACCAAGCAGCTCAACTCGCAGTAACTGTTGTTTGATTGCTAGGCTATCCGCCACTCACCACTTTGGTATCTTTCTATCACTCGTCACTAACATTACAACTGCATTCCAGTGTATATTACAATACACCTTTGCAACTTTACCTAGTACCTTGGAAAGAAAATACTAAATGGGGTTTTTTTAGTTTTGTTATTTGTCTGGGTTTTTTATTTTGGGAAAAATTATTGCAAAGGAAAGAATCCAGTTGTAGGTGTGTTTCTAACATGCTCATAGCTGAAGTAACCACCGAGTAAAAACAATGAACTGAGAGCAAATCAAAAAGTTCCTAAGAAGCAAGAGCCAGAGATTATTTTATTCTGGCCTATTTGTGCGGCTCACCCTCTTTAAATGACTGCAGTTGCATGGATTTGTCAGTGATCACATTTAAAGCAGCCACACAGAGTGAAGCCTGTGCACAAACAGCCACAGATGGAAGGTGATACTCCACGGCACCACATTTCATTGAGAAATAATAAAGGCCATATTTTCTTAGGAATTTGTTCCCCAATAAATGCAGCTTCTAAAGGTCCCAGCATGGACAGAAGATGAAAAAAAGAAAAATAAGAATACCAGAAAACAGCCAAAACAATCACAGGTTACATGAAAAGAACTATGATTTCACAAACAGACCTGTTCTCAAGAGAGGCACTGTGGACTCCAGGAGGCAGACACAGAACTGGGGAAGACTGAGCTGCTGGAACTGCAGCTGCAGCATGTCTTCCGATTCCAGCTCGGGCAGGTCGATGTGTGCCACATCCAGAGGTGAGGGGACGGAAATCCTGGAGTTCACGAGCGCATGACTGCTACTCCCGCTGTGAAACAAACAGGACAATCCTGAATAAGGAGACGGCCCACACACAGATGGACTGCACTTCTGCGATGGGTGCACTGGGAGCCTCAGATTGGACATGAGTCTAATGCTTCATGTAACAACAGTTCTGGTCAGATTTGGAGAAACCCTGACAAAGTCATGACATTAAATTCCATCAACATGGCTCAAAATTGCAAATGAAACCAAAAATGCCTTTCTATTTGACTTTTCAAACTGATGTTCTAGAAATGTATCAACATTCTTACAGTAGCAATCAACATTAACAAAGATAGCCCATTCATTTAAGGAAAACAGGAAAATTCAAAAATTCATTGCAAAGTTCTTCTGAAATCAACTCATAAAGTCAAAACTAGATAGTTCATATAGTTGACTAGATTTTCTGTAATTTCCACCAAATATTCTTAGTAAGCTAATGTTAACAACTGAAGAATGCTAGAAAATGCCATAAAAACATGAGAAATAGACTACTTCAGTTAGTACATTCAACATCACATAATGTTTTTGAAAATATACCAAAAGATGAAACACCCCATCTCTGTTGGCTTTCTTTATAAAAAGATCCTTACTTTGGGTGTAAAGTGGTAGGGTGGGGATAAATATGTATAGTAGGCCTGAACCTACATTTGCAAAGACCGTAAAATTTTTGACTTTTAATGTCATCCACAAGTGAATCTGACAGAATTCCCCAAATTTACCACATTCTGTCACTTCTTCAATCCCATATCCCAAACATCCCAAAAATATGGAAATAAGCCAAGTTCTCTCAAGCTCTGAAAGGTCCCATGAGGAAGTTGACACTCAGGAGTGAAAATCTACAAGCGGAGTGTATGCCTGTGTGCTGAGTACAGAGTTGCAATATAATATGTATGTCTTTCTGTGGGTCGTGATAAAAAAGGTATGAAAGCCACTGGTTTAACCCAAGGCGATACGTGAGCTAATGTTACAAAGGAGAAGACAGAGAAAAATAATGATCTCCCTGTGAAATTAAAACACACACACACAAGATAACCAGGCTTTCCCACAATCACCTGGACGACACTGCATCCCAATCCTGGCCATCTCCTCTAGGGCGCTGGCCTGTGCGTCCAACCACAGAAGGCCGGGGGCTGCTGCTTCCTGGAGAAGGGTTCTGAGAATGATGAGTAACTCTTACTTCATAGCAATAAGACAAAGAGGAATTTTGGGAAACTGTATCTGCAGAGGGGGGAAAAAAGAAGAAAATTATCCCTTAGTAGAGACAGATTACTGATTATGTAATATTTCTAACAAATTTGAGGTAGTAGGAATGCTTCTGTAGGGGTAAAAAAGAAAAACAAAGGTCAATCTTTTCTGCAAGTATTCACTCAGCACATCTAGGTTTCTATCTAGCCTGATTATATGAAGCCTTCTGGCCAACACTATTCACTTCTGACATAAGACTGCCAAGGCAGAACATCAGATCACACACTCCCTGCTGAAAACTCCCCAAGAAACCCATCTCAAACCACAGGCAAAAATTAACTCAAAATGAATCAGCAACCTAAATATGAGAGCTAAAATCCTAAGCTAAAAGAGAAATATAGGGATAAATAAATCTTCATAACCTTGGATTTGGCAATGGATTCTTAAATGACACCAAAAGCACAAACAACCAAAGAAAACATAAACTGGACTTCCTCACAATTAAAAAGTCCCATAAGTCAAACAAAGGACATTACGAAAAATGTGACAACCTACAGAATGGGAGAAAGTATTTGCAAATTTTATATCTAATAAGGATTTAATAACCAAGATATATTTAAAACTCAACAACAAAAAACTAATTTAAAGTTAGGCAATGGACTTCAACAAACATTTCTCCAAATCTCTATATATAAAAGACTAAGCGACCAAATGACCAGTCGCTATGATGCACACTGACCACCAGGGGGCAGACACTCAATGCAGGAGCTGCCCCTAGTGGTCAGTGCGCTCCCACAGCCAACCTTCCGTGGCCCCTCCCCGCAGCTGGCTGGCCCCAATCAACCCCCTAAGGGTTGGCCAGCCAACCTATGGCCCCGATTGCCAGGCCAAGGGACCCCACCCATGCACGAATTTGTGCACTGGGCCTCTAGTAAGATATATGAAAGGCCAATAAGCATAAGAAGAGTCACCAGGGAATCACTAGTCATTAATCAATAGTCAGGAGGGAAATGCAAATCAAAACCACAATGAGGTACCATTTCACACCTACTAGGATGACTCTGATTAAAAAAAGGAAAATAACAAGTGTTAGTAAGATATGGAGACACTGAAAACTTCATAAATTGTTGGTGGGAATGTAAAATGGTGCTGCCACTGTGGAAAATAGTGTGTCAGTTCCTAAGAAAGTGAAAAATAGAATTAACATATGACCCAACAATTCCGCTCTCACCCAAATGAATTGAAAACAGGGCTTGAACAGATATGCCAATGTTCACTGAAGCATTATTCACAATAACAAAAGGTAAGAACATAGGAGTCCATCAGTACATGAGTGAATAAACAAAATGTGGTATATACATAGAATGGAAAATTGTTGTCATAAAAAGGAAGTCCTGAAATATGCTACAATGTGGATGAACCTTGAAAATATTATGCTAAGTGAAATAAGCCAGGTTCCAATTGTATGAATTACACTTGTACTTAGAATACACAAATTCAGTAGACTAGAGCAGTGATTATCAACCAGTGTGCCACAAAAAATTTTAAAACATGTACTACCCGACTACTTAGTTAGGGGCACTAACCTCTTTTCCCTTAGATTGTCAAATAAAAAAATGACAACAGCCAACACAACAACAGCCATCCTATGTGAATGAATCAAAATTATACCCCCTTTTTTTGTCAGATTGGCAAAAATCACTGGATTAGAGGTTACCAGGGGCTGCAGGAGGGATTAACGGTGAAGCATGATCACCAATCACTCTTAGTATTCAACTTTCAAAGCATATGGTATAAGTGCACTGAAATACTATCAGTAATTTGTAAACAGTTTTGAGAAGGCCAGCCTAGTACTATATTTGTCCATTAGGTGGTGCTTTTTCCATGAAAAGTCAGGCACTATGATGATATAAAACTCTGACAACATCAAAAGTTGCATAAAAATAGTTGTCATAATATAGAAATCAGTATTTTCAACCCAAACAATTTATTAACACAACATAATTTACTAAAATACCCAAACAGCTGGGCTCAGAATCCTAATCCCTGGCTTCCAACAACACTTTTCTTTCTTTTCTTTTTTTCTTTATTGATTAAGGCAGTGGTTCTCAACCTTCCTAATGCGGCGACCCTTTAATACAGTTCCTCATGTTGTGGTGACCCCCAATTTCATTGTTATAAATTGACCATAATTAAAGCATAGTGATTAATCACAAAAACAATATGTAATTAAATATGTGTTTTCCAATGGTCTTAGGCAACCCCTGTGAAAGGGTCGTTCGACCCCCAAAGGGGTCATGACCCACAGGTTGAGAACCGCTGGATTAAGGTATTACCTATGTGTCCTTATAGCCCCATTGTCATCGTCCCCCACTCCCACCCCCCACCAAGGTGATAATTAGTGAGGAATGAGGAATGGGAGTTTAGCTTGTGACAATGTACATACAGTAATCCCTAAGAGAATGTATAATGGGGTTCTTTCTCAGAAGAATCTGCAAAGACCACCCGTGACTAATGGATAAATAAACATAAACACCTTGTTTGCTAGAGAAAAAGCCTGGATCTCGGTAGAAGTGAAGTCTGTGTCGTAAACACATGCACAGCTGCTGCAAGCAGGACACCGACTGCAGTGCCAAGCGAGGGGTCCCCTCGCCTCCGAAGGCCAGCTTCAGCAGAGAGAACAGGCTCTGGAATGAAGAAGAACCATCAAAATGATCACAGAAACCAAGTGCTCAACTTCAAAGGAGGATGTGAAGCTGAAGGAAGGGTAAATGAATAATCAAAGGAAATAAGCTGCCAAATATTTGTAAGACAAGAAACAGAAATGGGCAAAAGTCATTTGGCATAATGCAAGAATAAGGGTCAAAATAAAATTAAATGTGAATAGAATGGTCAGTGTTGCTTACATCTAAAATCTGTTAGGTAAGCACCTACTCTGAGAGAACACAGGTATTAAGTATTACTCCCCATTCAGGACATGAAGTTTCACAGTACTTTTTAAAAAACACATCAAGGTTTCCACATCTCAAACAGCTAAATCAGTTTACTACGGTTTGGTAATTAATAGCTTTTCCTCTGCTATCATCTGACAGCGGCCATAGTATGGATTAATAGCTGCCATTATTCACTGGCATGATTTTCAGCCCTGTGATTGTGAAGCTGCAGATATGCCCCAATCCCAGCCCTGGATCCCAATGCCTCTACTGAGCAAGTCTAGGTCCCAAGGCCTCTGCTGTAGAAGCAACATACCAGACTGCAAAGAACCCATCTTCATTGCTCGCTATCACATTTCCTCAGCATCCAGCACTGTGCCTAACACATACCAGATAATCAGAGAGACAAGCTATTCTTAATGTTCGGAGGGTTCTTGCTGCCTCACCTCAACTTCCAACGTCTACTAGATTCACGCTTTAGGTGACCCAGAAGTGGTAAATTCAGAGTGGCCAAATTGGACAACATGTGTCAAATGAGACTACCTCCTATCAGAAGAACTATCACTATCCAAATAAGTCAGAGAACAAGTGGTTTAAACACTTTATCCTTTAAATATGGTAGTGCACAAGTCTTTCCTAAGGACTGCTATGTTGCAAATTTTGTTTCCTCCCAAAAGTTCGCTATTTCAAAACCTAAAACAATTAAAGAGGATACACACCTGAACAATTTTCGGCCTTTGAAGGAAAATCTCAGCCGGAAAATCTTGCATGATAACATCCTTCAATAGTTCACAGGTGTTCCAGATCAAAGTGTGGTTACTACTTCTTAGAGAGCTACAAAAGAGCATTATTTATTTTTTAAAAAAGTTTACCTATCCTGATTGTAAGCCACTGAGTAGGAAATGACTCTACTCACATCCTCCAGGTCTCAGCCAAGACATCACTTCCCCTGGGAAGCCTTCCTTGATCTGGTCCCTAAACAATAAACAACTGTGGCAGGTACTTCTTCCACAGCCCTATACTGTATCTCAGTGGTTCTCAGCCTTGGCTGCATTAGAATCACCTGGGCCCCGGTGAGGTCGGGACGGCCCCGGTGAGGTCGGGACGGCCCCAGTGAGGTTGGGACTGCTCCAGTGAGGTTGGGACAGATAATGGGGACCAGTATAGACTGATGAACAAATGTTTTTAAAATCCTGACTTCTGGGCCTCATCCTCCGGATGTTACTTTGTTATGGGGAGGGGCCACAACATCAGTAACAAGGGAACAGAATTACCGGAGGATGAGACCCAGAAATCAGGATTTTAAAAAGATTCCCAGGTGATTCTACTGTGCAGCCAAGGTTGAGAACCATGGCTGTATCTGCTGCTATGTCAACTGCGTGCTTTGTACCCCCACTAGACCCTCCTAAAGATGGCATGCCCAGAGCCTATCACAATGCTACTAAATGACATTAAGGAGGTCAAAGGGCACAGAATTCGATGACATCTGTTATGTGAATTAAGAAATAAGACAGAAAAAAATAACAGTAACTATAGAGTTTAATTATAGGAATTAGACTCTTTACTGCTCTTCTCTATTCTAGGTGACTCAAGCTGGAAGGCCCCTCTTATCCTGTACAGAGGATATCCCTCAAGTTCTCAGACAATAGTCTCCCTCCTAGGGATGTAGCAGTGGTTCACCGTCCACCCCAAGAAACCAATCCCCAAGATATTAACCCTCCTCTCTCAGCTCAACTCCAGTCCACCATCCACCATCCCCCACCCATAGGTGTGCACTGGACAGCATCTCTCTCCCTTAGGGACTGACTCAGAACTGCCAGATCATGTCTGTCCTGCCCCTTTCCCATGTGCAGCTACCTCTTCAATATGTTGTTCCAAGAGAGTTTACTGAGGCCTCAGAAGTGCCATCAGCAAAAATCATTTCACAGCATCTTCCTGTCTCTGGCCATAATGCTAGCAAGTTGATCTTTATTTTCCAGATGTGCGTGTGTGTGTGTGTGTGTGTGTGCGCGCGCACGCACACAAACATGCAAACACACACACACACACACACACACACACTACTCATTTGATATAGTATTCACAGAAATTAAAGTTTCAGAAAAAAGAAACTAGACATTAATATACTATCCCAATTTCTATATATCAACTGCCTATGTTGGGGTTGGGGGTAATGACCAATTAACATTCATTACATAAGATCAGTGGTCCCTAACCTATTCCTAAGCCCAATTTGAAATAAATATATTGTCTACTAAAAAGTCTGCATTTATGCTTAATTTCTCCATTTTCATTAAGCAAAGACACAGCGATGGCCAATGGGAGACTGGTAAATCAGAGATGACTAATGAGCACACGAGACTTCAGCCTCAATGTGCAGCCTGATTAGAGGCAAACAGGAATTTTCTGGCTTATATACTGAAATACTGAAAATCATTCATATCGTCCCATTACTCCATTCACAGCCACTTGTATCTTTCTTCCTGATGAACTTGTACAGTAATAACTATCAGGTGCAACGCTAGAGTGAAGCAAAAATAGCTGAACCACATCGGGCTGTACCTTTCATTAGAGGAGAGGACGTGTCTGTCAGTTGTGGTCAGGGGGAGCCAAGGAAATGCAGCAAACTTCCAACACCTCGCAGTCTGAGTCGCTGGTAATGGAAGAGCACACTTACACCATCAAAGAAGACAATGTTGACAGACTCACCTTTAAGCTAAGTCCCCAAGTGAAGTTACATATACAGGAGCCTACAATGCACCAAACAAGGCCAGCTGCAAATGTATTCACCCTCAAGATAGATAACAGAGCACACTTTTCATATTTTAAACACAACTCATAGGTTATAATTAGAAGAGCACTAAACACAAGCCCATACTGAATGACATTTAGTTTTTTTTTATTTAAATTTATTGTTTAAAGCAGTGGTCGGCAAACTGCGGCTCGCGAGCCACATGTGGCTCTTTGGCCCCTGAGTGTGGCTCTTCCACAAAATACCATGTGCGGGCGCGCATATACAATTGAAACTTTGTGGCCCATGCGCAGAAGTCGGTATTTTGTGGGAGAGCCACACTCAAGGGGCCAAAGAGCCGCATGTGGCTCACGAGCCGCAGTTTGCCAACCACTGGTTTAAAGTATTATATGAGTCTCCCTTTTCCCCCATTGACCTCTCCCCGGCTGCTTCCATGACATTTAGTTTCAATTATATTTTCTATTTTACTCTTGACCAGAACACAAAGCACAAATTTAACATAAAAAGAACTGATATTTGCAGTCCTTTAATAACAGAAATTTAAAATGATAAAACAATCACATACTATATCTAATTAGTTATGTTTAAATATCCTAAATGGGGTTAGATGTTTAAACCTCTTTGAAGATGAGTTCAAAACTACAAGGTTGAAAATCAAATATCTTCAACCTCAAAGAAGATTAAAAGAAATACTTGAAACCAACACAATTGTAAACTACCACTGTTCAAACTATTTTTTAATAGGCTTATTTCCCCAGGTTTATTGAGATATAATTGACATCTAAAACTGTACAAGTTTAAGGTGTACAACACGATGGTTTAATACACGTACACTGCAAAATGATTATCACAGTAGAGTTAGTTAACCTCTCCAACCTCTCACATAATTACCAATCATTTCTTGTGGTGAGAACATTGAAGATCTATTCTCTTAACATTTTTTAGCAGATTTTATATAGTACAAGTTAAGGTAGCAACACTGAGAAGTAGTATCTACAAAAGCCCTTCCAAATGATAAACAGTCCTTCTTCCTAATGCTTTGAAAAGAGCATGGAATCTTTAAATTCAGGTAATTACTAATTTCACAAATAAAGCACAACTGCGTCTTTTAAAAGTGCTAAAATAAAAGCAGGGTTTGCTTTCTCAGGGAAAAGCAAGAGGTGGGTAGAGGAAAGGATAGGCTTACACTGCACATAAAAATGTGTCCAAAACAAGACAGACCACTAATCCACAGGCTGCAGCTCACCTGAAAAAGCATTCCCACAAGTGTCCTTATCGTTTTCAGCAGCTTCACCCAAGTACTACGCTCTGCTCCCTTCAGACACCTCTCACTGCCACTCACTTAAGCCTCTCAGCCACACACACAAAGGACTACCATCTCAAATCCAAAGCTCCCTATAAGCCTAACAAAATTTTTCCAGAAAGGGAAGATGAAGTATTTTAACAGCTGAACAAGTTTTCTGTTCTATCTTATGCTATTATTCAACTTGAGAGTCTCTAAGGAACTTTTTGAATAACAAGCATCCAAACTAAGTTCAGCTGAATCCCCATGTCAGCAGATATACCCTAGAACACACATTTTTTCCAACCACACAGGCAATAAAATGTGAAGCACTTGACTACTTAACCATTCCTAACCGCCAGGGGCACCTAGGATAAAGGTGTCATCTTTTCTAAGCCTCAGTGTCCTCATCAGTAAAATGGGGACACTGATAATAATCTCATTGGGTCCTCATGAGGATTCACTTGTGCAGAATATACGCTGAGTACCTAATACATTGTTGGCATCATTCTGCACAGGGGGATAAAGCAGTGTTTGCAGCTATCACGAAGCCTATTGTGACAGAAACAAGAAGGAAATAAACATATAACTTCAGATCATGATATGTGTTAGGAAGAAAACTAAACAGAAAGTGTTCACTGGCTAGAGTCCTCAAGAAGGTCTCTTTAAGGAGGTGGCATGTGAGCAGAGAAGGACACAGCCAGACACAAAAAGACCCAGAAGAGATCTCCAAACAGAACTCTAGAATCACTGGATGTTGGGATAAAGATAAATAAAGAAATGGAGAAGACGCCGGGTCTTGGCTTGAGTGACTGGACAGACGGTACAGAGTGAGCTGGAGAATGAGATGAGGAATGCACGGTGCACAGCACAGTCCCTGATGAAGGGTTTGTGTCCAACAAGCAATGCAAGTACTACTGCCACCATTTCCACCCACCTATGCAGTTGCTCAAATACAGTTAAATAACGTAAAACGTTACCATTTAAACTCTACATCCTAAACTAGTTTGAGGAAACTGAAACACTCAGCTTGGTGCTGAAACATTCGAGTGTGAACACAATGTGTCTTCACAACAATCCGTAAAAGTACATTAATTTCTGCTGTACCGGGTCAGCAGGATCTACTTCCCGACATGTGCTCACCCACGGGTGCTGGAGGCACTTCCATCTGCTGGAAATGACTTCTGTCTTGAGGAAAATATCCTGTTAAGATTTCAGGTGGCTGTGGCAATTCTGAAAAGAAAATAGATATTACTGCATGTATTATTATTTCTGATTCATTATTTGCTACAAGTGAAAGGTACTCATTTCAATTATTGTTTTCTCTGACTAGGAAGATAATCCAGTTTTTTTTTTTTTCTCTGAATAGTCTGCTTCCTAAAGAGGTAAAAAATGTGAATGTTGAGCCAATTTCAAATTGAGGGGTTTTTTTCTCCCTTTTTCTTTTACCATTAATATAAATGTTAGAATGAAAATATCTACAATGTACAGGAAGAATCTGTTACAAAGTGTTTATTCAAGAACTGTTCATCTCTGCTTCTAAGTCCATCTCCTCCTTCTCTTGTGCTCCAATTACAGAGTTCCTGGTCACTACAATTTTCATTAGTATCTTTTTTAAAAGTTGTCACAGTCAAAGAGGTCAAGCACTATCTTTCAATGCCTTTCATGATTCTATCACATGATTACATATTCAGCAGTGCAGATGCAATGACAATGAGAATGAGAAAAAGGCTAAAACTAAATTTTCTAATTTTCTGTTTGGATGTTTTCACAACAGTAGTTCTTAATATTAATACAGATATTGAAAATTTACCTTAGACCATACTTCTAACCTAATCTGTAAGGAACTACCCTTGAAAATTCACAAGTTAAGATTCTACTTTATTTGTTATGGCTTAGACAGAAATTGTAAAATCTGTTGTTACAAATCACAATCATGCAAAAAGCCAATAAGTGGCATTCACCACTGTTCTTGTTAACGGTGATACCAACAGTCACTGCAACAGCAGTACAGCACTGATACAGAGAAAAGTATGGTAGCAGAAACACTTTTTATACTTTTACCACTCCATTACATACATTTTATGGGCCTTTTTTTTTCTTTGAATCAATTCAAATGCCTTCCATATGTAAGGCACCCTATTGGGCATCAAATAGCGAGAACACAAACAGAGCCACCAGCAGCTCTCCGGCTAATGGATGCCGGGCCTCACGCTGCGCTCTTTTCAGGCACTGCCTCCTTTAATCCTCACAATGATATTATAAGATGTTCTTCCTCACTGTCCCAATTTGGGGATGAGAAAACTAAAGGCTGGAGCTGTTAAGAACCTTAGCCAAGGCGACAAAATTAACGGCAGAGCTGGGCCTGAAATCCATGTCTGACTCGGATTTTATACACTACCATGTGCAGCTCATTTTGATTGGACCCCATAAAAAAATCGTGATATTAACATACCCCCACCTGAAAAACAGTCCAAAATGCAAGTGTAAAACACTGAGAAAAATCTCTAGCTCATGATAACAAGTGCTCAAAAACAATTCTGTTATTGTTGAAGAAATAATGTGTCAAACTGGTCTTACAAAGAGAAAATCTTTTAGGCCCCTTCCCCCAAAAAGCAATAAATACAGCCCAGCCGGGTGGCTTGGTAGTTGAGCAGGGACTCATGAACCAGGTCACAGTTCAATTCCGATCAGGGCACAAATCGGGTTTCAGGCTCAGGCTCAATCCCCAGTAGGAGGCAGGGCAGGAGGCAGTGAATAGATTATTTTCTCTCATCATTGATGTTTCTCTCTCTCCCTCTCCCTACCTGTCTCTGAAATCTATACAAACATATTTTAAAAAACACAGTAAATACAAATGTATCCTCCTCTGAGTGACAGTAGAGGAGAGAAAAAAGGTCAAGCTCATGTAACTTAACACAAGAAAAATAAGTTGGGGGGGATTTTTTTTTTAATCTAAGGTCCCTTTCCTTAGAATTAAACACTAGTACCGATATATTTATAGTTTAACCGAATGCATCAGAATGATTCCAAAGAGTTACCAATCTGATCGGTCTGGTAAGATGCAGAGCACAGTGCAGGGACTTCTGAAGGAAGAATGAAAAGTCCATCCAGAATGCCATCGATTTCAGCCTGTAGATTTGGCTCCACGTTAGCACGAAGCTTAGACAAGAATTCGACTGCACCAAGATCAACCAAATGCTGGACTGCTGGGGAATACTGAAAGCATGAGAAGAGTGTCTTGTGAACAACAGCGTATGTCAAAGTCTCTAGACTTCATCTTACAGCACTTTGGGTATACCAGATGCTCCTTTTTTAAAAACTAAATCTTGCACTGAAATACCCAAAAGTACAGAACTTCGATGAATAGGACATAGGTGTACAGAGACATAAAACACTTAATAACACCTACAAGATTTTTGAAAAACCCAGACACTGAACACTGTAATTCCTACTTATTATTTCTGTCCACTGACATTCACCCTATCTCTCCTACCTCCAAAGGATGCAAAGTAGTAAGAATCACCCTCGCCCTAGCGGCCAGTTTGGCTCTGTGGATAGTGTTGGCCTGTGGACTGAAGGGTCCCGGGTTCCGTTCCAGTCAAGGGCACATGCCCAGGTTCGGGGTCATCCCATGTGGGGCGGCAGGAGGCAGCCAATCAATGATTCCCTCTCATCATGATGTTTCTCCCTCTCCCTTCCTCTCTGAAATCAATAAAAACACACATTTAAAAAAATCACCCAAGACTACACAGCGATTGACAGTTTTGAACGGTTAAACTTGCAATTTGACATCTGACTCTGGCAACTAACTATTCTCAAGATACGCTGAGGAACATAGGTCTGAAAAACAAATATAGGAAAGGAATTTAACACCTCTTGTGAGATTAATCGTGGTCTGTAACATTATCTCTAAATGAGTCCTTTGTCATAGGGACCCCTCCAATTTTTAACATGCAAATAACAGAACACAAGGAAAAACAGAATGACAGCTATTAACCCCCCCCCCCCGCCCCCCCCCCATGATTCCAAAACCCAGAATCCACCAGAACTCAGAAGATCGGTGTCACTTCAGAGCACAGTGGCGACAAGGTGAGGTTTAACATCACAAATCAAAGAAAAAGAAGACGTGGCCAAATAGCCAAGTGAGTGAAAACGCACCGCCCCCGGTTGTTTTTCAAAAACCATTTACATGAACTTTCCAACAAATGCTCCAGTGCAATGACTAAGAAACACTCGCTCCTCCGATTCCTTATGTCAAGATGCTCGTACCTTCACCAGCCGGTTCAGGAGGCTGAGCACCTCTGCTTTCATGGGGACGGACGGGAAGTTGAACCACTGCAGCAGGTGCACGAACAGCAGCCGGTCCTGGGCCAGGTCGGCGGCGGCGATCAGGTTGAGCTCCACTTTGCAGAGCACGGTCCGCAGGGCGCGCTCGCGGATCTCCGCCGGCGGGGTCAGGAGGACAGAAAGAAACCAATGCTTCCACCAGCTGGGCCGCTGGTGCTCTCGGGCCACGCACTGCGGCGTTGACACCAAGTCCGACAGGGGTCCCCGGGGACTGCTCTAGCCAAGTCGGGACCAGAAAGGAAATGTGACACGGCCATTCTCAGCCAGTGGCAACGACGGGAGGACGAATCCAGCGAGGGCGGCTCTGACTGTTACCGAGTTTCCTGATGAGCCCCGTCAAAACCATCGCGTCCCGCTCCACCAGCCGCCGCCGGAGAATTAAACCGCCGCGCCACAGCGTCCGGCCACAATGACTGTTCCCCCGGGAAACTCGGGCCGTGGGACAGCGGGTTCCGCTACTCCGGGGCGAACCACCCGACCAGTGAGAGCCATTCCGCGAGCTACTCCCGGCCCTGCGTCCCAAGAGGAGCTTGCGGGTTTTTCTATAATGACTACCACGCAGTTTACAGACAGCCGTCTCGCAGGTAGGGACCGGAAAGAATGAGGGGGCAAGCAGAGGTGGAACCGGCTTTGGCCGCTGGGCACGTCGGGACTTGTAGTTCTAGGCCCAGCCGTGCTCCGGTCCAGGAATTCCGGGCCTGCCACCGCGCCCCCCTGCCTGGGTTCCCGCGTCTGAGCGCGGGCTCCTGGCAGAACCCCAGCCCAGCCATGCACCCTCGCTCTGCGGGGATTCGCTTATGACCCTGCCAATCTGGGTTCTCGGGGCCCAGAACTTTACAGTTTAGAATGCAGAGTTTTGTTTTGTTTTGTTTGGATTCCCTTACTCCGCGTTACTAAATAACTTACCCTTTTTTTAATATGTAATGTTCCTCCAAAGTCAACCAGTGTGTCGGATAAGTTTAGTAAAAACAAGCAAGTCACAAGAGGGGAGAAATGGGGAAAAGGAGATAAGAAAGCAGAAAAAGGGAGCTGCAGGCAGAAGTAAAATTGGGTAAAGGGGGGCCGGGTAAAGGTTTGGATTCGTATTTGAATGCACCAAAATTGACTTTTGCACTGACAGACGTGAACAAAGAGGGGAAACATTCTAAGCAATGGGAAAGCAAGGACAAAATTGAATTTGTAAAACGGTTTGCATTTTAGAGAACATTTTATCTCACTGACCTTTTCAGTTTCCTGGGAAAGGGATGTCTAGGCAGCTATTCCCATTCCTATTTTGCAAAAAAAAAGGGGGGGGGGGGTTAAAATCAAAGCGCCTTAGCCAAGGTCGCATCATCAACTACTAAGTGGGGAATTAAGCATCTGACCTTAATTTTCTTTGTAATAAATATTCTTAGGGCCTTGCTTCCTTTGCATGTGTAGAGAGTGACGTTGGAACAAATCGTGAAAGATACGTAGGAGTTTATTTGCCAGGCAAAGGAATGGAGTAAAGGGATTCCTGCCAGAGAAAACACTACATGCAAAAAGGCAAGGATTCAGAGGCAGTCTGTCAAAAGAAGGGGAATGAGAAATTATAGGTGAGGAAATTAACTCTGCGGGGAGGAGAGGGAGGGGAAGGGGGCTGCTAGCCTGTTGGTTATTCTTGACTTGCTCCCCACTCCCCCTCCCCCCTCAGCCAACCTCTGCAGTAAGTAATCTGTACCCTCCAGCCTTCCAGGCCCTTGGCTCCGGCTGCTGTGGAAATCAGAGAGTGGGAGGAAAGAGAGGTGTGGATATTTAATTGAGACCCCACTAGCCCATACCTAAGCCTGCCTGGCCAAGATTGTAACAGTGGCTGCCTTCTTCCACCCTAGGTGACAGCTCCTGGTGGACAGGGGGCCAAATGGACCAAAAGTAGAAATCGTGGAGGCGGTTCCACCAGCTGAGAGGTTTCCGCAGTTATCCAGGCATCGAGGTTTTAGATATGGATTTGAGATGTCAAGGTCTAAATACATGTGACAGGATAGAGGAATAATAGAAATAACTTTTCCTTAATCTTTCTAAGATGAACAGTCTTCAGTGATAAAAAACTGGGACCCGGGCCCGTGTTGCTCAGTTAGTTGAAGCATCATCCCATGTACCAGTAGGTGGCAGGTTCGATTCCAGTCAGGGCACATATTCAGGTTTTGAGTTCAGTCCCTGGTCAGGGTGCCCAAGGTGCATGTGGAAGGCAACCAATGGATGTTTCTCTCTGGTTCCTCAGGGCAGGCAAGCATTCTGTGTGTCTTCCAGGAAAGTCTCCTGGACACCAGCCTGTCTCATTTAAAAATAAAGATCAGGACTTATTAATAATTCTGATCTCTAACCAGGAAAAATGGTTAGGACCTGATGTTTCATGCCACACTTAGGGATTTTCCTAATCATACCCATAACTTTGTCCTATAAATTTACATAATATTTAATTTTTAAGGGGACTGTCGAATTCTAACTTATCTTCCCAATGCCAATAGAAAGCTAATAAATATTTCATAGCATTTAAAAGTGGGAGGATTGAAACAAAGTATATTCATGTTCCATTTCCAATAGCAAAGCAACATGGATTTGAACTCTGCTTTCTCTGCACAGTTTAATAAGTAGAGGTCTTAATTACAGATGCAGGGAAGCAGAAAAGAATGTCTACCACCACCATCTCTGCTCAATATTGTATAGGAACTTTTATTCAGAGTAACTAGGCAAGAAAAAAGAAATAAAAGGCATCCAGGTTAAAAAGGAAGAGTAAAGCTATTTCTATTTGCAGCTGAGATGACCTTATATATAGAAAATCCTAAGGAATCCACAAAGAAATTATTAGAGCAAAGAAAAGACTTTAGCAAGTTTGCAAAATACAAAGTCAATATACAAAATCAGTTCTATTTCTATACACTAGCAATGAACAATCCAAAAATTAAGAAAAATAATTTCATTTATAATAACTTCCAAAAGAAAAAAATACTTAGGAGTAAATTTAACACAAAAAATTTAATACTTCTACACTGAAAACTATAAAATATTATTGAACAGAATTGAAGACCTAAATAAATCCATCCTGCCGGAAGCCAATTCCAGCGTGTCAGCAAGGGCTGAATCATCTGGAGCGGCTGAGGGCATTTCCCCAAACCTGAAAAGGGATGATTGCTTGCTGCCAGACAGCTCAGGGCATCTTAATCTACTTGTTATTGCCTCCTACTGGCCAAACACCTGAACAGCCAGAGGCATTTCCTCAAATCTGACAATGGATTCTGTACCTAACCTTTGAAGTGTATATCTCCACCTTGCCTTAGGACAATTTGTGTTAATAAATAGCAAGGGGTCCTGAGCCGAGGAGATCTTAGTTTCTTTAGCTAGGCTCCTCTGACTCCCTATAATGCCTTTCAAAATTATGCTTCGTCTCTGGACTCTTTATTAAGTTACACACAGCCCTTCTCCAGATTGCTGAACCCTTCTAGATGCTGGAACAAGAGCCCCCGCACCATCCCGTGTCTGGATTTGAAGATTTAGTATTATTAAGATGGCAATACTCCCAAACTGAATTACAGATTCAACATAATCCCTTTCAGCTGCCTTTCTAGGAGACATCGACAAGCTTATCCATCTGGGAATAATATAAACATTGTTGGCTTATATTCATATGGAGACTGTCCAAAACAATCTTGAAAACAACGTTGAAAGATTTACACTTCCCAATTTCAAAACTTATTACAAAGCTTCAATATTCAAAACTGTCTGATACTGGAATAAGGGCAGACATATATATCAATGGAACAGAATTGGAAGTCCAGAACTAGTCACTGATATTTATGGCCAATTGATTATCAACCAGGGTGCCAAGACAATTCAATGAGAAAAGAACAGTCTTTTCAACAAGTGGGACAACTGGATAGTCATATGCAAAAGAATGAATTTGGATCCATACCTCACACCATATTAAAGAAAACACACACACACCTCAAAATGGATCAAAGACATAAATGCAAGAGTTATAAGTGTAAAACTCTCAGAAAGAACATAGGCCTGACTCTTCATAAGCATGAATTAAGCAATGGTTTCTTACCATAGACATGAAAGCATAGCCAAAATAGTAATAATAATAAGGATAAATTAGCCCTAGCTGGTTTGGCTCAGTGGATAGAGTCCTGGGGGGTTGGCGGGGGGAGGCATGCAGGAGGCAACCAATCAACATGTTTCTCTCACATAGATGTTTCTTTCTGTCTCTCCTCCTCCCTTCCACTCTCTCTAAAAATGAATGGAAAAAATATCTTGAGGTGAGGGTTAACAACAACAAAAAGATAAATTGTACATCATATAAATTGAAAACTTTTGTGGTTTTAAGGACATTCTTTTTTTTAATTTCTTTATTGATTAAGGTATTACATATGTGTCCTTATCCCCCCCTTTGCTCCCACACACCCCCCCCCCCTC